GTCCCTACTGTTTACCATTTTAACCCCGATTTGGTCCTTTCATTAAATATCTGCTTATGTGTCTTGTTACTTAACGGGGAAAAGGATGACATGTCAAATATTAATACACGTGGAAGATAATATGACCAAAAAAGTGATAACATGAAAAAAATAACAATATAAAAAAATATTATAAAAAATAAAACTTAAATTTTCTTTTTCTTTTTCCTTCCCTTTCCTTTTCTCTTTCCCCTTCCCTTTCCCCTTCTCTTTCCCCCACGCCTGGGTTCCGTCTCCCCCACGACTGGGTTCGACGGAACCCAAGCGTGGCCTGGGTTCGACGGAACCCAAGCGAGGCCTGGGTTCCACCGAACCCAGCACGCCCACTAAACCCAGCACCTGGGTTCGATGCCCAGCATGCCTGGGTTTGATGAAACCCAGGCCCTGGGTTCCTTAAGACCTAGCCCTGAGTTCCCACAAAAAAAAAAATAAATTTTTGTTTTCTTTGTTTGGGTTTTGTTGTTTGATGATATGAGAAATTGATTGATGAAGATGAAGAAGGCAAGGCAGTCGTTGGGTTTTTGCAGGTGGATGAAGATGAGGAAGGCATAGGTGCTGGGTTCAATTTCGAACCCAGCAAGCAATCGAACCCAGCAGTTGCTGGGTTCGATTTTGAACCCAGCAGGCATTGTGTTCAAGCTGGGTTCCTGCAGGTGCTGGGTTTGATTTCGAACCCAACAGGCACTGGTTCCGTTTCGAACCCAGCAACCGTTGGGTCAATGGATCTGTTGAGTTCCATTTGTTTATTGATCTATTGTCTGTTGGGTTCTGTTTCAAACTCAGTCAATGGATCTGTTGAGTTTGATTTATTTATGGATTTGTTATTTGTTGTGTTATCCTCATATTCTTGCAGGTGTTGGATTCGATTTCAAACCTAGCAAGCGATGGGTTTTGTTTCCAACCCAACTGCAGTTGGATCGAAGGATCTATTGATTTTTATCTGTTGGTTTGTTGTGTTATTCTCGAATTTAATATTAGGAAATGTTAGGGTTTGCAGAAGGTGAAAGGAAAGGGAGAGGAAGAAGAAAGGGTAAAAAGAAAAACAAAGAAAGAAAAAAAAAAAGAAATTTTTTAAAGTAATTTTTTGCCATCTCATTTCTTTACCACACTGTACATCCTAGGTGTCAAAATGTTTTAACATGTCATCCTTTTCTCCGTCAAGTAACAAGACACGTAGGCGGATATTTAACGGAAGGACCAAATCGGGGTTAAAATGATAAACAGTAGAGACCAAATCAGGGATTTTTTTAGTTTAGGGACCAAATCGAGGGTCCGTATAATAGTTTAGGAACCAAAATGAGGTTTTAACCTAAAGTTTATAAGTTGAACTAAAGTAAGATAATAATATACTGTCTGAATTGTAATATTAAACTCTTAAATTTGAGATAAGTTTTAAACTTTTAAAAGAGATCTATTTGGTATTTATTTGACATTTTATGAATATTTTTAA